CCCCCCCCCAACCCCCGAAAACCCCACTTATTTAAATTTTGTTTTTTAAAGTGGATCGAAAATGTTGCCCCTAAAAAAAAGTGTACTCCTCTTTTCGTAAGCTACCCGTAACTGTAACCAGTGCCGGGTTAACCTAAAGGCAAACGAGGCATGTGCTTTCGAGGCTCCTCGCCTGTTGGCGGCTTCCTGACCCGGGGGGGGGGGGGGGGTTGGGCGGGGCTAGTGCTTTATTTGATGTTGAAGGTAGGGCATACTCTTTTAGTGCTGATGAGACACCAGTGTAGCGGGGTGAGGCGGAGCTCCGCCCCGGGCAGAGTTTTATGTTAAGGGGCGGGGGCAAAAATCTTGGCCCTCCCCGGACAACACTAACCATTGTTACGTTACTGGAGGGGTCTTCATACATAAGTCATAGAATTAGGGGGAGATAAGAAAAGTTAAGGAAACAACACAATCCGTAACATTTCCCTAATAATTTTTTTTTAAAGTTGGGGGGGTGTGGGGGGTGGTTAAGAGACTGTCATTGGTGGTAGCAGGGGTGAATCGAGTAAAAATGACATTTCTGTTAATGGTGTCAGTGAACAAGCGACCATAAAGGGGGAGTGCGAATATTGTATATAACAAAAATACGACATTAAAAAAACAAACAAATACTATACCCCTTATAACGTTATTTAACATTTCCACCTCCCAGCCTTCAAAAAAAACAAACAAAAAAAACCCCCCATAAAATTTAAAGTATCTAAAATGTTAAATATCCCGCACCCCGATAAAACACACACACATTTGAAAACCAAGCAAACAGAGCAAAATTCAAGGAAAAATACAGTTGTTTGGTTTTTTTTTAATGTGCTGGATCTAATTATTTTAAGCAAAATATACATTTTAGTTCTTAATAATCTAGGCTAATTTCGTACATTTGAAAAGCAGAAAATAAAAAGAATAGTTTAAGTTATATAACATTGCTTTCGACCACCCCAATCTCATATATATATAACACATATGGGACATACGAAAAACAAAGATAAATCATTCCAAAAAAAAAAAAAAACACTCCCCAAAAACCCCCCCCCCCCCCCCCCCCCGTTATATAACAATGTGCACGGTACCAATGTTGAAACAAACAAAACAACTCAAATATTCTGCCAGTGGCAACAAAAGCTTTGTCTTTCGCCTTCATATTTCCGCGACCACCACACAAAGTGTATCGATAAATCTGAAGTTACCGATACGTGAACCACCTTGTCGTTTCATTCGACGAAAGCCGTTTACGATTAGACTGGAGTAGCAAACGATTTTAATTTTTGTTGTTGTTGATCAAGGGAATCAAGTTCAGCACTGGCATTTTAAAAAAAAAAAATTCTTTTGACAATGCAGAACATATTTCGGTTTCCTAGATTGTTCTGCAAGCTCATGTTGCAAAGATAAGTCAGCTTGCACACTGCATTCCGTGCGCGGCGCACTCGCGCAGCGTGGTTGTTGTATAGTAGTATGCTCTGTTGGTGGCAGCTTTCGAGAGATTTCATAACTGGGACGTGTTCAAGAGTTGCAAAGAGGGTTTTTTTTTTTTTCTTTTGTTTTTTTCATTTTTATTATTATTATTTTTTTTTAGATATGTGAGGAGCTCCAACACTTCGTCTGCCTCCACAAGTCCAATTTCTCCCCCACCCAAGGCCGACCCTACGATTTCTGGCGCCCCGGGCAAGCTTAACTTTGGTGCCCCTTTTAAGCAAAATCATAAACATTTGTGCAAGGAAAAAACTGGTGATGAGTTGTTGTTTTTAAAACAAACAATGAACAATAAAATTTCTTAACTTGTATTTAGGCAGTATGAACAATCAGCCTACCGTAGGCAGTATGAACAATCAGCCTACCGTAGGCAGTATGAACAATCAGCCTACCGTAGGCAGTATGAACAATCAGCCTACCTTAGGCAGTATGAACAATCAGCCTACCGTAGGCAGTATGAACAATCAGCCTACCGTAGGCAGTATGAACAATCAGCCTACCGTAGGCAGTATGAACAATCAGCCTACCGTAGGCAGTATGAACAATTAGCCTACCGTAGGCAGTATGAACAATTAGCCTACCGTAGGCAGTATGAACAATCAGCCTACCGTAGGCAGTATGAACAATTAGCCTACCGTAGGCAGTATGAACAATCAGCCTACCGTAGGCAGTATGAACAATTAGCCTACCGTAGGCAGTATGAACAATCAGCCTACCGTAGGCAGTTTGAACAATCAGCCTACCGTAGGCAGTATGAACAATCAGCCTACCGTAGGCAGTATGAACAATTAGCCTACCGTAGGCAGTATGAACAATTAGCCTACCGTAGGCAGTGTGAACAATCAGCCTACCGTAGGCAGTATGAACAATTAGCCTACCGTAGGCAGTATGAACAATCAGCCTACCGTAGGCAGTATGAACAATTAGCCTACCGTAGGCAGTATGAACAATCAGCCTACCGTAGGCAGTATGAACAATTAGCCTACCGTAGGAAGTATGAACAATTAGCCTACCGATGACATTTTTTTAAAGCCTTTACATCAGCAAATCTTTTTTTTTTTTTTTGCACTTTCTATTTTTCTTCCATTGTACCCAAAATGGAATGATTTTTTCTATTTAGGAAGATCGTTGATGGCGCTCTAAGCACATGGCGCCTCCATGGGCCAGCCCTGTCCCCACCCACCCTTTTTTCATCCCAAAAGTCTGACCCCCATTTAAATTGGGCATTAATAGATGTCCACACTTATAAATATAAATATGAGTTAAGGCAGGGTGGCGACGAATGATGTGTCTTTAAGTCCAAAAGGTATTATGTGACAGAATATAAATTCACTGTGAACATATGTGCACGGCCCTTCAACCAAGGAGAAGCACCGGAATTTAAGCGCTCTCGTCCTTAACAAATGGCGATATTGGCACCCACGGCGGGGCACTCTTCGGACGGCCCTGTATTTGTAGCCTACATCTGAACATCCCACATGTATCCCCCCCCCCCAAACTGCCCTTCTCTTTACAAGCCAAATAGATCTAAGATAGAGTACAAGTTACGTCACTGTGCTTAAACATTAAGTTTTATCTTATATTTATAATTTAGTAGGATATGTATTTTTTGTAAATATAAATGAGTTCCTAATTATGTAATTTCCATACAATATTTAAGTTCTCTCAACTATATGTCAATATAATTGATTTATTATGCCACAATCAAACTCACAGTGGATAAGACACACCGGTGATAGTAGCCTACGACCCTACATTCGACTCGTTTGGTGACCACGCGACAGTGGCTTCCGGACAACGGAGCCCTCGGAGACGCGTGTTGCGAGGGAGAAACGGAAGTGTATTAATATCTTTCTTAACGAAATATAAAACCGCGACAAAATGTTTCCCTTTCTTCCATTATTTCCAATAACTTATGCCCTCATACCAAATGCACGTAATTTTAAATAGTATTTTTTCACTTAATTGAAAATTTAAGCTTGTAAAAATGTATGTGGATTTTATGCGTCAATTTTAAAACCTGGCAGCATTCTCGTAGCAACATGTATTCATACACCGGAAAGAAAAGTCCCCTGACGACGTACAAAATTAATTTCTGACTGAGAGCAATCTTCACTTGACTACAGGAACATCGAGTGAGAGGGTAGTGTTTGGAGTTAGGAATTCAAGAAGATAGTATTGAACTGCTTGGCATCCATCACATTTTCAAAACATAACAATGTTCAAGAACACTTTTCAAAGTGGATTCTTGTCAATACTTTACAGTATTGGCAGTAAGCCGCTACAGATTTGGGACAAAAAAGTGAGTAGTGTCAATTGACTGTCAAAATCATAACCGAGTGTTTCTTTTCTTTTTACGTTTTCGTGGGTGAAATTGGTGTTACTTAAACATTTTAGCGTGCCTAGCAACGTTGGTACTATTCCTTTGTATTTATTATCATGTTCCTAGAACATAGCCTAATTTATAAATTAAACATAGACATAGTAATAGTATTATAATGAAAAGAAGATCTTACATATATTCTTGTAGTAGTCTCATACTCATGGGCATGGATCCGTGCACATATATGACATATTGGATATCTTAACTGTAGGCCAGGGGGTTATTAGGAGTACTTTATCATTTTGTGATATGGGGTGGCGGTGGGTGGTAGAGAGTCTCTAAGAGACCAATGTTTGATTTTCTTTAAAAAAAAAAATTAAATCTAATTCTTATTTTTTTCAAAATTTCCGCTTTTCAATTTTATGATAAGCCTACTATATGAATATATTCGTGTTAAAAAATATGTGAAAGTCACTACTCACTATTAATTTGAATGGTGTACTCGGTTTTTTAGTTCTACTAAACATTGTTTGGCAATGAGCCAATAAGGCGACACACCTACCAACATGACAGACTTTTGTTACAAATACTTTAAACAGTTTTTAGAGACAAAAGCTAAGTGACAGTGAGCTAGGACTGAGTATGAGATGATATATTTTTTTTATATATTGAAGTAGTGCACTTTCAATCACCAAATAATATAGGCATTAGGTTTATAGGATATGCCTATATGTATATTTAAGCTATTAAATCTAATTTTAATTTAGAAATGAATTCAAATTATACCTACTATGTATATATGTTCTTATGCAAACTGCAGTGGTTGAAGATTACTTGCTTGTCTCTTTAACATATGAAATTTCAACAATATCTTTAAACAGTCTTTTATTTATTTTTATTTTACAAATAGGCCTACCTGTTTAAATTAATTATAAAGAAAAATGAAAAAAGGCCAAATATGTTCATTAGCTCATCCTAAAACTTGATTGTCAATAAGTTATATAATCTGTCTCAGTATCAGCAAATAGGCCTATATGTGTATTATTTATTAATTATTTTACAGTTTGGAAAGATATAGAAACCATGGGTTGGTCACTTAATTGTTGATACATAAAATAAAATTTATGCAAGGTTTTCAATAAGAAATAGTTGCCCGATAGTGAAATCTAATTTTTGCTTCTCGTTTGGCTTACAGGTGCGCAATGGTCACATCAAGCGTATTACAGACAATGACATCCAATCTTTAGTTTTAGAAATTGTTGGCACAAATGTAAGGTAAGTTACTGATAAATACGGGAGATGTTGTTTTTTGTTTGTTTGTCAAATACATTTTTTGTTCAAATTTTATATTTCTGTTTAAAAGACATATTTCTTTAGAATTGAATTCACTTTGAACTTTCAATGACATAAAAGCATGTCTGCTGCAAAGCTAGTCAATTTTAAGTTTTGATCAATGTACTCATGAGAGTTCTGGTACATAAAGTTTCAGGGCATTTTTAATACAATTAAATTTTAAAATGCTTTTGTCTATTTCAGCACAACATATATCACTTGTCCAGCAGATCCTAAAAAGACTTTGGGGATCAAGTTGCCATTTTTAGTAATGATCATCAAAAACTTGAAGAAATACTTCACATTTGAAGTGCAGGTAATTAAATTGTATATCATGATAAAATAATGTATTATCATTATTAAAAGCTGTACTGGTGCCAACAAGACAGAGTGATTTCCAAATTCATGTATCTTAATGACTTTTAATGGTCATCTGAGATGATTCTGATACAATTAATAGAAAAGAAAAAGTAAGAAATTTAGTTAATAAAATTATATATATATATTAATTACTAAAGACCAAATTAATTTCTCTATCATCCCAAACCGGTAACTCTTATCAATCCCTTGAAAGGTGGAGCTGACCCTTTGCACAAGACCTGGTATAAATCCATAAATCTGTGCAGAATTTCTTCCCAAACACATAGTGTTTAAGTTACTAATTACATGCTTTTTAAAATCTTCTCAAGGTATTAGATGACAAAAATGTAAGGCGGAGGTTTCGTGCAAGTAACTACCAAAGCACAACGAGAGTAAAGCCATTCATCTGCACCATGCCCATGAGGCTAGATGATGGCTGGAATCAAATTCAGTTTAACTTGTCTGACTTCACACGCAGGGCATATGGCACAAACTACATCGAGACCCTCCGAGTACAGGTAATTAAACAATTTAATTTCAACATTCTTCAGACATAGCTATTGAAGTCTGCAGTAAGGAAATATAAATATATTTGCCTTGAAAAAAAATATTTGTTTTAAAGAATTTTTGTACAGTTCAGACTGTCATTAAATTTCTGTACTCTTCTTTTTTCTGTGTACACCCATGCTCTAAATGTGAATAATGTAGTTCTGACTTTTTCTTCTTTCTTCCAGATACATGCAAATTGCAGAATTCGCAGGGTCTACTTCTCTGATAGATTGTACTCAGAAGATGAATTACCTGCAGAGTTCAAGCTTTACCTCCCTGTGCAACAAAAGAAATAATAAAGCTCTTAATGTACAATTTATAGAAATATTAACCTTGCCTGTCTTGTTAGCTCATTTGTTGTGCATGGTCAGTTACTACTCTATCTAGAGTCATGAAGATGGTGGTATCTGTACTTTGGTAAAGGTCCGATAACCTGTTTTAGTGGACATGAAATTGTATGTTAAGGAAGACTAATAAAAATACTTCTGCTTTGATTTCTTTACAAATATTAGTGGCCAATTGTTAGGCAATTACAGTTTATCAAAAATATGATTGCCACATTTCTTTTGAGGGATATGATGTAAAACAACTTACCGGTAGGACAAATTTGTTAAGGGAGGTAGCTTTTATTTTGAAGGCAGTATTGATTATGTCTCCCAAAATTTCTAATACCTAGTGTTTATATTGTTACGATGGCAACAGATGGTTTTGTTGAACAAAGTTCATCTAGGTTCAATTGTACTGTTGTGATATTCTTGAACATAAAAAAAAAAAAAAGAAAATATTTGGAAAATATATCAGGATTTTTTTTTCCACTTCAAATTACTCTAATCTAATGGCATAAAATATATATTAACTGAACCAAACATTATTGTTGTATCTACCTGTTTTTATGCCATGCACTGTTATTGTTTGTCATAAAATGGGTGGAATATTTGATAGGCATGCAAAGTTTATAGTGGGAGATTGTGCTGTACAGAGATATATATTGGAGCCAATCTCCACAGCTATTGACAATGTTGTAACATAGACCTTCACAAGTTCAACTGTTTTTGTGAGAGGTCCAGACCAATTTTTAAGAGTTGAATGTGAATCATGGTGTAACTGTTCTTACATTAATCACAGTCCCATATGCCCAAAAAGCATTTTGTGTGGTTGTTTTGGTGAAAGGTGGACTATATTTTTTTAGAAGCGTGCCTGAAATATAAATAAATGTGAATGCATGATTAAATTATGCTTGGCAGATACCATGTATTTGTATTTAATCATTATAATTTCTCTCTAAATATCTTAGAGAATGATTCAATGAAAAAATTAAGACAAATTTTGTGTGAGTGTAGCAGTTTTACAAAATGATGTCACTGAAAAAGAAAATAGACTCTGGGATTGAAAGTGTAAACTATTTTAATGAAAATTCTTTAAATCAAATAGTTAAAAGTCATAAATAGTTATAGGCAACAATATTAAAGCAATTTTTATACAATAAACAATTATTATAATTAATAGCAAAGGAGCAATAATAGAATTTCAAACTTAAATTCTGTTGGAAAAGTTATATATGTTATTAAGAATGTAAAAGCCCATTGTTGTTATTAATAATGTGTATGCTTGATTATGCTATTTGAACTATTTTATATCAAATAAACCAAATGTTTAAAAGCTTAAATTCACTCTTTTTTTTTTAAAAAATTTTGTGGCATTTGAAGTCAAATATATAAATATGTTCTCATGTATGCCAATAAGTTGTCAGTTATGCTGCCAAGAAACATAAAGGAAAGATTTTTTAAAATGTCGTCAATAAAATGTTCAGTTTTTATCTTTGTTAATTTTTCCCTCCACTGTTAAATTGCTTAAGATTAGCTAAACATGTACCTAAATTTGAATGATTTAAAAGAAATCTTTATGAACAAACATAATTACGGTAGGCCTATAGCTAATTTTTTTATGGAGGGAATTTATATAAAGTGAAGTTACAAGAAAACAATATTTGAGAGTGATGTATAAATGTAAACTTGTTTTGAAAACATCTCAATCTATTTGAATGAATTTTGATTTCTCAATTGAAGGAAGTCATAAGTGGAAAAATTGCATTTACATTTAATAAAACTAAATGGATTTAATGATTTAATTAGACATCACATACACATACTGTCAGTTGTGAGAACCTTAACGATAAAGTAGGCCTATAATATAAGTTAAAGTTCATGCCAATCAAAACTAATCAGAAAAAAATGGAGAATAAATAAAATAGGCCTATAAACTGTGAATTCAAATTGTGAATCATGTAATTATTATAGCCTACATAATAATAATAATATTACATTTAAATATTACAAAAATATAATTAGGAAATAATTGAATTTGAACAAAACATGTTTAGGCCTGAAATGAAAAGACGGGACATTTAAAAGGATGCTTTGGCTAGATGCCTTCTTCGGCAGACAATACAAAACAAGAAACCACAGATAATTATAAATTAAAAAATTTAAGTAAGTGTTAGAAAATCTCAATGAAGTCAACGTATCTCTATATTTAGAACCGGAAAATAATATAACAATAAATTGGGCATATACTTTTCATATACCAAAACAGTTGTTACTAATTAAAGCAGAACAAAATTTACAAAACATCATATAAAAGAAAAGATGCCCGCCTTGGTGATTGTGAGCCTTGGGTTATCTATCGTTAATGCTCAGTTCACACTACGATTAAATTTACTTCAAATTTTTGTCAAATTTCTTTTTGCGTTCATAAAAAAAAATTACGAATGTTTGATCGAGTGAACTGATCTCAACAAAACGAAATTTTAATTTAAAAGAGCAATGATTTTTAATGATTTAAAAAAAATCTTGTCAATGATGATCAGGATCTGGGATCGGATAATGAATGAATGAAAATGAAAGTGTTAATTTTATCAGGAATTTTTTGCTTATACATAAATTTATACACTTGATTTTTTGTATTTTGACAAAACAGTTGATGCTCATCCTTAAATTGACTACTAATTGTAGCAAATATAGAAAATCTACACTTAAATTGAGTTATGGTCGTTTTCACAAGAAGTTAATAAATTTGCGAAAAAATAGAACAATTTGCTCAACCATAAGCCATAAATAATAAACATATCCGGTTTCGTTACCAAGAAGAGTGACGACGCCTCTGACATGGAAAATACGGAAAATGAATCAGGCTCCAAGAATCTTGATAAAGAAGACTATGTTTTTCTTCCTATTATCGAATCTATAGATCCTTCTATTAAAGGCGATGTAGAAGCTTACCTGAAAACAGTAGTCTCTCCCTTTGATGAGAAATCAGAAACAGTCAAGACGGATAGGTCGGTAATAATTAATATGGTAGATTTTCATATATTTTTAATTATTATTAATAGTAACTAATTAACAAACTATATTAGTAAGACTCCAAGTCAGTGTAAATCACTCAATTCAGTGATTCAGTGTCACTGAGAAGGTGGGTGAGTGAGCAATCGAAATCTCGGTCTCAGTCCGTCTCCAGAGAATATGTGGACCAACCAAGGAGTAATAATAGTAATATGAATGAAGAATAAAAACCAACCAGGCATTTATGAACTATATTTGGATCCCAGGCTAGTAGCAGAAATAAGAAAAGACAGGCTGCGCTGGGTGGGACATTTAGAATGACAGAGGATTGAAGAGGTTACACCACCAAACCCCAGAGGAAAACGGCTCAAAGGCAGACCTAGGCTTAGATGGATAGATAGATGATGTTGAGAAAGATCTACAGCAGCTATGAACCCAAGCATGGAAAAGAAAACATTCAGTTTGGTCTGAGTGAAAGGAAGTGGTTAGGCAGGTCAAAGTCCTACATAGGCTGTAGAACCACATGATTTAGAGGGAAGGGGGTCTTGGCCTATTTTATATTCTATAGCACTATATTTTATACAGATGTAGTATATATAATATTTTTATGTGGGATAGTACCTGTGATTTGGTACCAGTACTTAAAAAGATGCTAGTACAAGCTATGTAAAAAAAAATTTGTTTCTTATGCAATAGGTAAAAAGTGTTCAAATATATGTATTGTATTTATTTAAAATATTTTTTCATTAATTTCACTCAGTAAAATTTATTTATATTACAAGAATACCTAATGAAGTTAAAAAAAAATAACTTCTATTTTTAGCTGGATAGAATGGGCTAAGCGTCTGAAGTATCTCAAGTTAGTCTACACAGGTGTCCCTGATTTTATTTTGCCTAAGAACTATTCAGGTGAACTGATTGATGTCAAAGTTTTCTGCAAACGGGGGCCTGATGATAGCATTTATGATACCTATAAGTTAGTTAGAGATCGGGTGAGTAAAATTTGTAAAAATAATAAGTTCCTCATGCAGCTATTTTGAATTTTTTAAATATGTGATTTTCTTATTAAAAATCAATAATAACTGTAAAAAGTCTGAATTGGGTGCAAATTTATTTATATTAAATAGCTACTGATACATTTGATTTTTGGTCATATTTCAGGTAGCTAGAGCAGGGGTGCCACTCACTGAAAGCTGTGAACCCTGAAATCCCTTTCTAAAAATTTCTTGAAACCTGAAACTTCATTTACAAATTTTTCAATCCCTGAAACTTAATGAAACTCAAAATTCCTGATTATCGCAATGCGGCATTTTGTTGATTAATATAAAAACAAGCATGAAATTATCAAATAAAACATTGAGATACATCACAAATGAACAAAATTAAGCAATTAAGGTGTATACATGTAAACATTTATTAGTATTTATTAAATTTACAGCAATAGCAATTTTTCAATTTACTTAGACTTGAAAAGTCAACTTTTGCAATGAGTTATCCTGGCTTTTTAGAACAAACGTATAGCTACCAGTGGTAGTACCACAAGTGGAAAGTATCTTTTCATATATGGAGTTAATGTTCTCTTCTTTATGATGAAAATGGATAGTTTGAATCAACACACTTTAGTGTCTTATACTATCTCCCAAGTGTGAGAGTTTCATAGTCATAGTTTGACACATACATTTCATAAATTGAGAAGTTACAAAAGTGGACACCTAAGATGGTTGATAAAGCTGGTATCATCAGATGATTGACTCAGACATTTTCCCCTTGAATACTTGATATCAATATTTCCAGCATAGTATTGATTGATGGCTTATTCAATCATGATTGCCAATAGCTGTACTGTAACTAATGCCCATCAGTTCTTTAAAGTTAAAGGAACTGTTAAGTTAACTGTTGGGCATTACATATTTTTATTGAGCCTAGATCCTGAATAGTGAAACAAAATAAAATATATTATCATATTAGATTTATAGTTTATAGTAAGGCATACATAACAATAATATCGACAAATTATACCAGTATTTAACTACGGCACTACTGCTACGGTAATACATAGCATTATGAATACTAGTAATAGTAGTAGTAGAATTAAAATTACCGTAAAGTATACCCAGAGTCAGAACACGGGAGTGCATAACTAATAAATAAAAACTAACTAAATACAGTTATGTCAGGCTCACTACAGAACGGATAAAAATAACTTAATCATATTAGCCTATTTAAAATTAGAAGGCTTACTCCGTAATTAAATGTAAAGTGAACTTAAAAAAGTCTTTAAAAAAAAGTTAAACGCCGCCTAGCTCTCCTAATAAAAAAAATACAAGTCGCCTGCATACAGTAAGAAGCTACATAACAAAGTACGCTAAGTGCGGCTAAGCTTAGTCTTGTAAGACAGCGCTCGGATGAGTAGTTTTCTTTTAATGATAATGGTTACCCAACAATTAAAAACTGAATTAAAAAGATATTTACTAAATTTTACACTTTGCTTACCCAAACACTTCAAATATCTCTTGATCGGCGACGTGAACAGAAAATAAATATTTCTGGTCTATCGAAGTAGTACGGTACTCGAAACGCGTAGTGTAAAGCGCATGCGCAAGGGGAAACCACTAGCTCTCTGGCAACAGAAAGGCTAAAAATAGACGAGATCGGCGATTAACGTCCATTTTCA